CGTACCTACCGATTAAGATTTATTCATCGTTGGGATAATATAATTTTTTTTTTATACACTAACACGTAGAAAAAGTTGTTTTTGTTTTGTTTTATCGTTGTATAATATAAACAGAGTCTGCGTAAAAGCTTTTCCTCATACATGTCATGGAGCTAATTTTGAACTCTATAAACATTACATACGTGTAATTGAACTTCTTATATTCTTTCGCAAATAGTCATATTTTTATATATTATTCAATTCAACATTCTCATAAAATAAGTTTTTTGGTCGAAGAAGATATATCATATATAGTCAGAGCCGGCATATGACATAAGTAAGCCACACAGGCGGCTGTTTTAGGGCCTATGCGAGAAATTGTCTTTGCTATTTCGAAACCCAATTTTGTGTCTGACCATTTTATTTTATTATTGATCGAAAACAGAATGGCTGATCACTGATCGAAGTTACGTTTTACTTCTCTAGCACTCTCCGTTTAAAGCTTGACCTTACAGATTCGTTCTCCAAACATCCGATGCGATGAGAATTTTGGGTTGACTTAGCTAAACATTTGATAAATAAAACAGTATGATTTTTAACACAGGTATAGCTACAAGATTTGTGCTACGTCTATGGAGATTGTGTCCACCACAACCTACCAGGCTTATCATATCACTGTGACTTATTCCGGTAAAGAAAACCCTTCTCTGCATGGACTTTTGCATAATTGTATTAGGCGTTTGTAAGCTTCTCGGTAAGCTCCCTCCAAATCTCTAGAGTTCTTTTATTTATATATTTAAGGTACGACAATTTTGCATCCCATGACTCTCAGGGACGCGCTCTGGGCCACTCTCTTTTCGAATCAGTACTCAAGTCCCAGCGTTCTAGGAATCTGCTTTCCATCGAGGAGATTGTCCAGCAGTCGAACAGGTCCCATTGCATTAATCTTGATCCGGACTGCACTGATGGGAGTTCGTAAAAAAATTCATTTTATATATATATATATAATATATAAATTATTTTTACTTTGATATGTAATATTATTACAATTATTTAAAATCTTTCACGTTGCAGATTTTGTTTGTCCCTTGTTATCACCATGGCGGTTTTGCGGATGCTCCCTATTGAAGCAGCCGTATGAGACTTTTTTTCCAAAAATGCCGTGTGAGCTAAAGAAAACTTGGCATCGATCTTTCGTGGTAAGATTTTCAAGATTTATTTATTTTTCTTTACAGTTTAAAATTGAAATATCAAACAAGAGTTTAATGTGTTTCATATGTGTTTGTAGCAAGAGTTTACTTAGCTTCATACAAGGATGACCACGTGTTGGAAACAGTTCAACACAAGTTTGCAGGAATCCAATACTTGAGACACATCTACGGGTGGAATCAGAAATTTCTTGAAAAAACAAGTCTAATGATTCTCGAAGGGTTTCTGCCAGCATTGAAGTTGGCCTGACATGAAGGTTCGAAAAACTCGAAGAACCAGAACTGAACAGTAACCGAGGAGGGAAGGGAATGTACACTCACAATAGGAGTGCAAAGACAGTCTTGCATCAAGTGATTGAATTGGTAAGAACCTATAGATTTTTTTTTTTTTTTTAATTTTGACATTCTATTTATTCATTTTTAAACCAATCAGTCTTTTTGCAGATGGATCGAATGACACAAATCTTGCAGGAAAGTCTTAATGGCTCAGCAACTTCTTCAAACGAGCTAACTCGAGAAGAGATTAACAACATAGTTCTCTCAGTAGTCTTTTTTCCCTTTCTTTTATATTTTTTCCCTTTATTTTATATTTTAGATATCTAATATTTTTTAATAATTTTTTGTAGAAAGCTCGGCAAGTTAAGGGTCAACTATTAGCTTTAGGCAAACTTCCGAGCATGGAAGCAGATTCCTCGCCAGTTTATTGTTTCCCTCTCCTAAAGTATCAAATCGAGATTGAGAACCTTAAGGAAGTGGTTAGGGAATGTGATGAGAGCATCAAGTAGTTGGAGAGTGCATCCTAAACACATGTACCGAGCTCTACCAGATGAACCAAATTATGGAGACTTCTTTTCCGCATTAATTTAAAAAGTAGTTTTAAAAAAAATATTTTTATCTAAATAAAACATTTTAATTAATTTTATTATATGTTTAATTTTATTATCATATTACATTTAGTTTAAATATTAATTATTCAATTTTTCTAAATACAAAATACAATGTTCGATTGAAAATCTGTCAGACATATCCTTTCGAGTTATATGGGAGACCTTTTCCATGTACTTCTGATGAATTTCCGATAATATTTTTTTCACATTTTAATGTCGCTAATCTATCGAAATTCCATCAGAGATATTCATTAAAAATGCCGTTGAAATTGTTTAGACGGCTTCCCTCCGTCGAAAATACATCGGAGAACAGACATTGGTAATCCGTCAGTATATTCTGTTAAACGTATTCCATCGAAAATTCCAACGGAGATCCATCAGAAGAGATGGATTATGCCAAAGGAATTAACCTTCTGTCTTGTAGTAGCTTACCGATAAGTTTCCTCCATATCTCTAGAGTTATTGTTAACTGAGTAAACTACTCCCATCAACCTGATGTTCATCCAATCTCGTTTTGCCGAAGCTTAAAGCTTTGTCTCTATTCAGAAAAGCTCTCCATGGCATGAACTTCACCATCAATTATAAGTTCTGGCTGGGTTTTTTTTCTACTATTGCACTTCACATGAGTGATTATTTATTTTATTTTTGGATTTTTGGTGTTCCATGAAGTTTTTATTGTTGTTACATGCATCCTTTTCTATTTTTTTTCTTACAAATGATATAAGGAAAGTTTATCAGAAATAAAACATGGGAATTTATATTTATTCGGAGATTGTATTTGAGTTTCAGAAGATGCACGAGACGAGATTATAGAGCAAAAAAATTTGAGGGCCATATATTATATTTTGTTGTTGTACCAAAAACTGCAATGATCAATATTTATATATATGAATAACTGAAAAGATCTGAAGCGTCTTTTAATAACGAAGATGTAAATGACTATTTGAGCAATTCTCCAAGAAGGCAGACTCAAAAAGTGTGTCGAATCTATTTCAACCTAGTTTTAAGAGTGAAATAGCCAAAAAAAAGTAAGTAGCTTTAATATTAACAGTTACAAGAGTTTACAAGAGAAATAACAGCAAAATGATCTGAAATGGGGAAGTGAGAGCAAAAGTAGAGAGAATGTATGTTTTTTATTAGAAAGTATAGTCTCTAAGGGGTGAAAAAAACTTGTTTTCTCTTTCTCTAGTTTTGTAGCTCTTGAAAACCTGTATAACATTTTCATATACTCCTCTTGATTCTATAATTAAGTCATTTAATGTTGTGGTTTTTAGCTGTTTCTAGTCAAAGTATTGAATTTTTCTATGTTTGTATATAAATACTCAGTTTGCTCGATGTTAAATTTCCTGTAAGTTTTAATTTTTACTTATTTCATGTTCCATACTTAACAAAGTTAGAGCTGGACATCGCTTTAGGCGTTCCCACTTAAGTAAAGAATTTGATACCGTTAATGGGTATTTGGACGTTTATATCTTATTGTGCATGAAATTTTAGTACTGCAGTTTACACCTTAACAGTTTTTTAGGTAAAACGTATTCCATAATTTTGAAATCTATGATTTTGTTTTTTTTTTTTTTGTAAACAGTATTGTTCAAGAGCATTTCGCAAAATATTTATGGGGTATGCGTGTTCGTTGTGTCAGGGGAAATTCATTTTACGGGTTTGTCCTTTGTGTGGACGAGTAATGCTTGGGTTGTTGTTCGTGCCTGTCGCTCAGGGCCTGCAATCACTAAACAAAATAGTAAGATTACATTCTTGAGAACCGAAAAGAGGTTTCTCTCCCTAAGAATCTCCGACGCTCAAATCAAAAATACCCCACCAGAAACAAATATTCAGAAGGGTAAATTTTAGCAAGGTTACATGGTTGCAACATCACGTCCAATCGTGGTGTTCATCTATATCCAATGGCGTTTTGCAGTAGCTTAAAGGTAATCTATATTCAGAAAGGCTCACAATGGCAAAAACTTCACAATCAATTATAACTTCTTTGGTTTTTAGACATTTGTACTACATAATTTTTTTGAAACTTTTCATGTGGTTTTAATTATTGGTGCATGCATTTCTTCCTGTTTTGTGTTCAAAATAGTTGTTGCATTTACAATTATGGATTTAACTGTTTTGAGCCAAAGCGTCTAATTATTCTCTGTTTAAAATAATTTCCAGTTTGCCACATAGTGGTTGTTTAAGTGTTTTTTGGTAGCTTTTAACCTTTTTTTCTATTCCAAGTTTGGTAGTGAACGAGGTTAGAGCTTCACATCACTTTAAACGTTTCCACTTTGGTAAAGATATTGATCTTATTGAATCTGAAATTTTTGGACCATGATTTACACCTCAATAGTTTTAAAATTAGTATATATAAGGCATAGTTTTTAAAATCTATGATGTTTTTTTGTAAACTAGATATTAATTTTTAAAAATAGTGGTTTGTCAAATTAGTTTATATATATTTTTTTTTAAGTCATTTTACTTCTTTTAATCATTTGTTTTTGTTTTTCACCTTAGGACTCGGATCATTACTTTCGTTAGACCAATCTTGTTATCTCTTTTTTTTAATCAATTTTAGTTATGGTATTAATATTTTGCATTTGCGTTTACTTAAGACTAAAAATATATGATATTAATATAATATTAAATATTAAACATAGGCTTTACATAGATAGTATTGTAATAATATATTTTACGTAAAAGTTAACGAAACACAGATTTTTATTAATTTTATTCAACACTTTACTAACGACAAATTTAGTTTGCGGAAATTATTTCATTCCGCAAAACTTATTTTATTATCCTTGAATCCACAAATCCACGGTGTTTTCTAACCAATCATCGTAAGTAAAATGGATTTATGTCTGTTTAGGGACAGAAAGTGATGGAGTAATTAGCATTGGCACAAGTAAAAGTGCTCGAAGCGTCGTCGTATGCGTAGCTATACGCTCTGGGACAAGCTGCTTTGAATATCCTCGAGAAATCGGTCGGAGGACAAGTCTCCCGGTTTATTGAACGGCCCGGTGCAGCAATACTCCGGTTTGTTAAAAGCCTCGCAAGCGCTCTTACACGCCACAACATTCCCCCCATCCAAAACGCGTAGATCGGTAGGACAATTCGCGTTCAAGTCTGAAACGCATCCAACGTTTTGGCAATCGCCTGAGCCTCCTCTCGTCGTGATTCCCATCTGGACGTTGTAACCGTCGACAAGACTTATGTCGTAGAAATCCATCGCGCCGTTAGTGCCGATTGTGAATTCGGCGAGTGTGGCTGGTGGAGCTCCTCCTGCGCCGGCGCATTTTAATTTGTTGCCGCAGTCTCCGGTGAGGCATCTTCCGGCGCCTGAGCTGTCGAAATTGCAGCCTGTTCGGCCCCAGAATCTCCCGGACCATCCCGCAGGTGCGGTTACATCGACGGAAGATCCTGAGTTTAAAGCAAATCCGCCGTCATTGAGTTGTGTGCCGCCGTTTCCAGTGAGGATTCCTGGCCAGACGGTGAAACTGCACCTGTTAACTACGGTGAAGACGGTGCCGGAGACGACGGAAATGGTGCCTTTGCAAATAAACATTCAAAATTAATTAATTAGATTATATTACGTACTGTATAACTTTTTCTATGCATGCATGTAATAAATATGTTTATGAAAACTTAATTTGTATAAGAAAATTGACCAAAATTTATGTATGTATGCATGATTACCTGTTGCTATGATGAAGGAGAAGAGGAGAAGATGTAATCCTGAGAAAGTCGCCATTCTTAATCTCAAGTATCGATTGTATGATGGTGAATGGAAAGTTAATGGCATGGATTGCTCTATTTATAGTTGTTTTTTTTGTTGCATTGCTGCTACGTACCTACCGATTAAGATTTATTCATCGTTGGGATAATATAATTTTTTTTTTATACACTAACACGTAGAAAAAGTTGTTTTTGTTTTGTTTTATCGTTGTATAATATAAAAACAGAGTCTGCGTAAAAGCTTTTCCTCATACATGTCATGGAGCTAATTTTGAACTCTATAAACATTACATACGTGTAATTGAACTTCTTATATTCTTTCGCAAATAGTCATATTTTTATATATTATTCAATTCAACATTCTCATAAAATAAGTTTTTTGGTCGAAGAAGATATATCATATATAGTCAGAGCCGGCATATGACATAAGTAAGCCACACAGGCGGCTGTTTTAGGGCCTATGCGAGAAATTGTCTTTGCTATTTCGAAACCCAATTTTGTGTCTGACCATTTTATTTTATTATTGATCGAAAACAGAATGGCTGATCACTGATCGAAGTTACGTTTTACTTCTCTAGCACTCTCCGTTTAAAGCTTGACCTTACAGATTCGTTCTCCAAACATCCGATGCGATGAGAATTTTGGGTTGACTTAGCTAAACATTTGATAAATAAAACAGTATGATTTTTAACACAGGTATAGCTACAAGATTTGTGCTACGTCTATGGAGATTGTGTCCACCACAACCTACCAGGCTTATCATATCACTGTGACTTATTCCGGTAAAGAAAACCCTTCTCTGCATGGACTTTTGCATAATTGTATTAGGCGTTTGTAAGCTTCTCGGTAAGCTCCCTCCAAATCTCTAGAGTTCTTTTATTTATATATTTAAGGTACGACAATTTTGCATCCCATGACTCTCAGGGACGCGCTCTGGGCCACTCTCTTTTTCGAATCAGTACTCAAGTCCCAGCGTTCTAGGAATCTGCTTTCCATCGAGGAGATTGTCCAGCAGTCGAACAGGTCCCATTGCATTAATCTTGATCCGGACTGCACTGATGGGAGTTCGTAAAAAAATTCATTTTATATATATATATAAATAATATATAAATTATTTTTACTTTGATATGTAATATTATTACAATTATTTAAAATCTTTCACGTTGCAGATTTTGTTTTGTCCCTTGTTATCACCATGGCGGTTTTGCGGATGCTCCCTATTGAAGCAGCCGTATGAGACTTTTTTTTCCAAAAATGCCGTGTGAGCTAAAGAAAACTTGGCATCGATCTTTCGTGGTAAGATTTTCAAGATTTATTTATTTTTCTTTACAGTTTAAAATTGAAATATCAAACAAGAGTTTAATGTTTTTCATATGTGTTTGTAGCAAGAGTTTTACTTAGCTTCATACAAGGATGACCACGTGTTGGAACAGTTCAACACAAGTTTGCAGGAATCCAATACTTGAGACACATCTACGAGTGGAATCAGAAATTTCTTGAAAAAACAAGTCTAATGATTCTCGAAGAGTTTCTGCCAGCATTGAAGTTGGCCTGACATGAAGGTTCGAAAAACTCGAAGAACCAGAACTGAACAGTGACCGAGGAGGGAAGGGAATGTACACTCACAGTAGGAGTGCAAAGACAGTCTTGCGTCAAGTGATTGAATTGGTAAGAAACTATAGATTTTTTTTTTTTTTAATTTTGACATTCTATTTATTCATTTTTAAACCAAACAGTCTTTTTGCAGATGGATCGAATGACACAAATCTTGCAGGAAAGTCTTAATGGCTCAGCAACTTCTTCAAACGAGCTAACTCGAGAAGAGATTAACAACATAGTTCTCTCAGTAGTCTTTTTTCCCTTTCTTTTATATTTTTTTCCCTTTATTTTATATTTTAGATATCTAATATTTTTTAATAATTTTTTGTAGAAAGCTCGGCAAGTTAAGGGTCAACTATTAGCTTTAGGCAAACTTCCGAGCATGGAAACAGATTCCTCGCCAGTTTATTGTTTCCCTCTCCTAAAGTATCAAATCGAGATTGAGAACCTTAAGGAAGTGGTTAGGGAATGTGATGAGAGCATCAAGTAGTTGGAGAGTGCATCCTAAACACATGTGCCGAGCTCTACCAGATGAACCAAATTATGGAGACTTCTTTTCCGTATTAATTTAAAAAGTAGTTTTAAAAAAATATTTTTATCTAAATAAAACATTTTAATTAATTTTATTATATGTTTAATTTTATTATCATATTATATTTAGTTTAAATATTAAATATTCAATTTTTCTAAATACAAAATACAATGTTGGATTGAAAATCTGTCAGACATATCCTTTTCGAGTTATATGGGAGACCTTTTCCATGTACTTCTGATGAATTTTCCGATAATACTTTTTTTCACATTTTAATGTCGCTAATCTATCGAAATTCCATCAGAGATATTCATTAAAAATGCCGTTGAAATTGTTTAGACGGCTTCCCTCCGTCGAAAAATACATCGGAGAACAGACATTGGTAATCCGTCAGTATATTCTGTTAAACGTATTCCATCGAAAATTCCAACGGAGATCCATCAGAAGAGATGGATTATGCCAAAGGAATTAACCTTCTGTCTTTTAGTAGCTTACCGATAAGTTTCCTCCATATCTCTAGAGTTATTGTTAACTGAGTAAACTACTCCCATCAACCTGATGTTCATCCAATCTCGTTTTGCCGAAGCTTAAAGCTTTGTCTCTATTCAGAAAAGCTCTCCATGGCATGAACTTCACCATCAATTATAAGTTCTGGCTGGTTTTTTTTTCTACTATTGCACTTCACATGAGTGATTATTTATTTTATTTTTGGATTTTTGGTGTTCCATGAAGTTTTTATTGTTGTTACATGCATCCTTTTCTATTTTTTTTTCTTACAAATGATATAAGGAAAGTTTATCAGAAATAAAACATGGGAATTTATATTTATTCGGAGATTGTATTTGAGTTTCAGAAGATGCACGAGACGAGATTATAGAGCAAACAAATTTGAGGGCCATATATTATATTTTGTTGTTGTACCAAAAACTGCAATGATCAATATTTATATATATGAATAACTGAAAAGATCTGAAGCGTCTTTTAATAACGAAGATGTAAATGACTATTTGAGCAATTCTCCAAGAAGGCGGACTCAAAAAGTGTGTCGAATCTATTTCAACCTAGTTTTAAGAGTGAAATAGCCAAAAAAAAGTAAGTAGCTTTAATATTAACAGTTACAAGAGTTTACAAGAGAAATAACAGCAAAATGATCTGAAATGGGGAAGTGGGAGCAAAAGTAGAGAGAATGTATGTTTTTATTAGAAAGTATAGTCTCTAAGGGGTGAAAAAACTTGTTTTCTCTTTCTCTAGTTTTGTAGCTCTTGAAAACCTGCATAACATCTTCATATACTCCTCTTGATTCTATAATTAAGTCATTTAATGTTGTGGTTTTTAGCTGTTTCTAGTCAAAGTATTGAATTTTTCTATGTTTGTATATAAATACTCAGTTTGCTCGATGTTAAATTTCCTGTAAGTTTTAATTTTTACTTATTTCATGTTCCATACTTAACAAAGTTAGAGCTGGACATCGCTTTAGGCGTTCCCACTTAAGTAAAGAATTTGATACCGTTAATGGGTATTTGGACGTTTATATCTTATTGTGCATGAAATTTTAGTACTGCAGTTTACACCTTAACAGTTTTTTAGGTAAAACGTATTCCATAATTTTGAAATCTATGATTTTGTTTTTTTTTTTTTTTTTGTAAACAGTATTGTTCAAGAGCATTTCGCAAAATATTTATAGGGTATGCGTGTTCGTTGTGTCAGGGGAAATTCATTTTACGGGTTTGTCCTTTGTGTGGACGAGTAATGCTTGGGTTGTTGTTCGTGCCTGTCGCTCAGGGCCTGCAATCACTAAACAAAATAGTAAGATTACATTCTTGAGAACCGAAAAGAGGTTTCTCTCCCTAAGAATCTCCGACACTCAAATCAAAAATACCCCACCAGAAACAAATATTCAGAAGGGTAAATTTTAGCAAGGTTACATGGGTGCAACATCACGTCCAATCGTGGTGTTCATCTATATCCAATGGCGTTTTGCAGTAGCTTAAAGGTAATCTATATTCAGAAAGGCTCACAATGGCAAAAACTTCACAATCAATTATAACTTCTTTGGTTTTTAGACATTTGTACTACATGATTTTTTGAAACTTTTCATGTGGTTTTAATTATTGATGCATGCATTTCTTCCTGTTTTTGTGTTCAAAATAGTTGTTGTTGCATTTACAATTATGGATTTAACTGTTTTGAGTCAAAGCGTCTAATTATTCTCTGTTTAAATAATTCCCAGTTTGCCACATAGTGGATGTTTAAGTGTTTTTGGTAGCTTTTAACCTTTTTTTTCTATTCCAAGTTTGGTAGTGAACGAGGTTAGAGCTTCACATCACTTTAAACGTTTCCACTTTGGTAAAGATATTGATCTTATTGAATCTGAAATTTTTGGACCATGATTTATACCTCAATAGTTTTAAAATTAGTATATATAAGGCATAGTTTTTAAAATCTATGATATTTTTTTGTAAACTAGATATTATTTTTTAAAAATAGTGGTTTGTCAAATTAGTTTATATATTTTTTTTTAAGTCATTTTACTTCTTTTAATCATTTGTTTTTGTTTTTCACCTTAGGACTCGGATCATTACTTTCGTTGGACCAATCTTGTTATCTCTTTTTTTTAATCAATTTTAGTTATGGTATTAATATTTTGCATTTGCGTTTACTTAAGACTAAAAATATATGATATTAATATAATATTAAATATTAAACACATAGGCTTTACATAGATAGTATTGTAATAATATATTTTACGTAAAAGTTAACGAAACACAGATTTTTATTAATTTTATTCAACACTTTACTAACGACAAATTTAGTTTGCGGAAATTATTTCATTCCGCAAAACTTATTTTATTATCCTTGAATCCACAAATCCACGGTGTTTTCTAACCAATCATCGTAAGTAAAATGGATTTATGTCTGTTTAGGGACAGAAAGTGATGGAGTAATTAGCATTGGCACAAGTAAAAGTGCTCGAAGCGTCGTCGTATGCGTAGCTATACGCTCTGGGACAAGCTGCTTTGAATATCCTCGAGAAATCGGTCGGAGGACAAGTCTCCGGTTTATTGAACGGCCCGGTGCAGCAATACTCCGGTTTGTTAAAAGCCTCGCAAGCGCTCTTACACGCCACAACATTCCCCCCATCCAAAACGCGTAGATCGGTAGGACAATTCGCGTTCAAGTCTGAAACGCATCCAACGTTTTGGCAATCGCCTGAGCCTCCTCTCGTCGTGATTCCCATCTGGACGTTGTAACCGTCGACAAGACTTATGTCGTAGAAATCCATCGCGCCGTTAGTGCCGATTGTGAATTCGGCGAGTGTGGCTGGTGGAGCTCCTCCTGCGCCGGCGCATTTTAATTTGTTGCCGCAGTCTCCGGTGAGGCATCTTCCGGCGCCTGAGCTGTCGAAATTGCAGCCTGTTCGGCCCCAGAATCTCCCGACCATCCCGCAGGTGCGGTTACATCGACGGAAGATCCTGAGTTTAAAGCAAATCCGCCGTCATTGAGTTGTGTGCCGCCGTTTCCAGTGAGGATTCCTGGCCAGACGGTGAAACTGCACCTGTTAACTACGGTGAAGACGGTGCCGGAGACGACGGAAATGGTGCCTTTGCAAATAAACATTCAAAATTAATTAATTAGATTATATTACGTACTGTATAACTTTTTCGATGCATGCATGTAATAAATATGTTTATGAAAACTTAATTTGTATAAGAAAATTGACCAAAATTTATGTATGTATGCATGATTACCTGTTGCTATGATGAAGGAGAAGAGGAGAAGATGTAATCCTGAGAAAGTCGCCATTCTTAATCTCAAGTATCGATTGTATGATGGTGAATGGAAAGTTAATGGCATGGATTGCTCTATTTATAGTTGTTTTTTTGTTGCATTGCTGCTACGTACCTACCGATTAAGATTTATTCATCGTTGGGATAATATAATTTTTTTTTATACACTAACACGTAGAAAAAGTTGTTTTTGTTTTGTTTTAATCGTTGTATAATATAAACAGAGTCTGCGTAAAAGCTTTTCCTCATACATGTCATGGAGCTAATTTTGAACTCTATAAACATTACATACGTGTAATTGAACTTCTTATATTCTTTCGCAAATAGTCATATTTTTATATATTATTCAATTCAACATTCTCATAAAATAAGTTTTTTTGATCGAAGAAGATATATCATATATAGTCAGAGCCGGCATATGACATAAGTAAGCCACACAGGCGGCTGTTTTAGGGCCTATGCGAGAAATTGTCTTTGCTATTTCGAAACCCAATTTTGTGTCTGACCATTTTATTTTATTATTGATCGAAAACAGAATGGCTGATCACTGATCGAAGTTACGTTTTACTTCTCTAGCACTCTCCGTTTAAAGCTTGACCTTACAGATTCGTTCTCCAAACATCCGATGCGATGAGAATTTTGGGTTGACTTAGCTAAACATTTGATAAATAAAACAGTATGATTTTTAACACAGGTATAGCTACAAGATTTGTGCTACGTCTATGGAGATTGTGTCCACCACAACCTACCAGGCTTATCATATCACTGTGACTTATTCCGGTAAAGAAAACCCTTCTCTGCATGGACTTTTGCATAATTGTATTAGGCGTTTGTAAGCTTCTCGGTAAGCTCCCTCCAAATCTCTAGAGTTCTTTTATTTATATATTTAAGGTACGACAATTTTGCATCCCATGACTCTCAGGGACGCGCTCTGGGCCACTCTCTTTTCGAATCAGTACTCAAGTCCCAGCGTTCTAGGAATCTGCTTTCCATCGAGGAGATTGTCCAGCAGTCGAACAGGTCCCATTGCATTAATCTTGATCCGGACTGCACTGATGGGAGTTCGTAAAAAAATTCATTATATATATATATATATATATATAATATATAAATTATTTTTACTTTGATATATAATATTATTACAATTATTTAAAATCTTTCATGTTGCAGATTTTGTTTGTCCCTTGTTATCACCATGGCGGTTTTGCGGATGCTCCCTATTGGAGCAGCCGTATGAGACTTTTTTTCCAAAAATGCCGTGTGAGCTAAAGAAAACTTGGCATCGATCTTTCGTGGTAAGATTTTCAAGATTTATTTATTTTTCTTTACAGTTTAAAATTGAAATATCAAACAAGAGTTTAATGTGTTTCATATGTGTTTGTAGCAAGAGTTTACTTAGCTTCATACAAGATTGACCACGTGTTGGAACAGTTCAACACAAGTTTGCAGGAATCCAATACTTGAGACACATCTACGAGTGGAATCAGAAATTTCTTGAAAAAACAAGTCTAATGAGTCTCGGAGGATTTCTGCCAGCATTGAAGTTGGCCTGACATGAAGGTTCGAAAAACTCGAAGAACCAGAACTGAACAGTGACCGAGGAGGGGAGGGAATGTACACTCACAGTAGGAGTGCAAAGACAGTCTTGCGTCAAGTGATTGAATTGGTAAGAAACTATAGATTTTTTTTTTTTAATTTTGACATTCTATTTATTCATTTTTAAAACCAATCAGTCTTTTTGCAGATGGATCGAATGACACAAATCTTGCAGGAAAGTCTTAATGGCTCAGCAACTTCTTCAAACGAGCTAACTCGAGAAGAGATTAACAACATAGTTCTCTCAGTAGTCTTTTTTCCTTTCTTTTATATTTTTTCCCTTTATTTTATATTTTAGATATCTAATATTTTTTAATAATTTTTTGTAGAAAGCTCAGCAAGTTAAGGGTCAACTATTAGCTTTAGGCAAACTTCCGAGCATGGAAGCAGATTCCTCGCCAGTTTATTGTTTCCCTCTCCTAAAGTATCAAATCGAGATTGAGAACCTTAAGGAAGTGGTTAGGGAATATGATGAGAGCATCAAGTAGTTGGAGAGTGCATCCTAAACACATGTGCCGAGCTCTACCAGATGAACCAAATTATGGAGACTTCTTTTCCGCATTAATTTAAAAAGTAGTTTTAAAAAAATGTTTTTATCTAAATAAAACATTTTAATTAATTTTATTATATGTTTAATTTTATTATCATATTACATTTAGTTTAAATATTAAATATTCAATTTTTCTAAATACAAAATACAATGTTCGATTGAAAATCTGTCAGACATATCCTTTCGAGTTATATGGGAGACCTTTTCCATGTACTTCTGATGAATTTCCGATAATACTTTTTTCACATTTTAATGTCGCTAATCTATCGAAATTCCATCAGAGATATTTATTTAAAATGCTGTTGAAATTGTTTAGACGGCTTCCCTCCGTCGAAAATACATCGGAGAACAGACATTGGTAATCCGTCAGTATATTCTGTTAAACGTATTCCATCGAAAATTCCAACGGAGATCCATCAGAAGAGATGGATTATGCCAAAGGAATTAACCTTCTGTCTTGTAGTAGCTTACCGATAAGTTTCCTCCATATCTCTAGAGTTATTGTTAACTGAGTAAACTACTCCCATCAACCTGATGTTCATCCAATCTCGTTTTGCAGAAGCTTAAAGCTTTGTCTCTATTCAGAAAAGCTCTCCATGGCATGAACTTCACCATCAATTATAAGTTCTGGCTGGGTTTTTTTTCTACTATTGCACTTCACATGAGTGATTATTTATTTTATTTTTGGATTTTTGGTGTTCCATGAAGTTTTTATTGTTGTTACATGCATCTTTTTCTATTTTTTTTCTTACAAATGATATAAGGAAAGTTTATCAGAAATAAAACATGGGAATTTATATTTATTCGGATTGTATTTGAGTTTCAGAAGATGCACGAGACGAGATTATAGAGCAAACAAATTTGAGGGCCATATATTATATTTTGTTGTTGTACCAAAAACTGCAATGATCAATATTTATATATATGAATAACTGAAAAGATCTGAAGCGTCTTTTAATAACGAAGATGTAAATGACTATTTGAGCAATTCTCCAAGAAGGCGGACTCAAAAAGTGTGTCGAATCTATTTCAACCTAGTTTTAAGAGTGAAATAGCCAAAAAAAGTAAGTAGCTTTAATATTAACAGTTACAAGAGTTTACAAGAGAAATAACAGCAAAATGATCTGAAATGGGGAAGTGGGAGCAAAAGTAGAGAGAATGTATGTTTTTATTAGAAAGTATAATCTCTAAGGGGTGAAAAAACTTGTTTTCTCTTTCTCTAGTTTTGTAGCTCTTGAAAACCTGCATAACATCTTCATATACTCCTCTTGATTCTATAATTAAGTCATTTAATGTTGTGGTTTTTAGCTGTTTCTAGTCAAAGCATTGAATTTTTCTATGTTTGTATATAAATACTCAGTTTGCTCGATGTTAAATTTCCTGTAAGTTTAAATTTTTACTTATTTCAGGTTCCATACTTAACGAAGTTAGAGCTGGACATCGCTTTAAGCGTTCCCACTTAAGTAAAGAATTTGATACCGTTAATGGGTATTTGGACGTTTATATCTTATTGTGCATGAAATTTTAGTACTGCAGTTTACACCTTAACAGTTTTTTAGGTAAAACGTATTCCATAATTTTGAAATCTATGATTTTTTTTTTTTTGTAAACAGTATTGTTCAAGAGCATTTCGCAAAATATTTATGGGGTATGCGTGTTCGTTGTTGTGTCAAGGGAAATTCATTTTACGGGTTTGTCCTTTGTGTGGACGAGTAATGCTTGGGTTGTTGTTCGTGCCTGTCGCTCAGGGCCTGCAATCACTAAACAAAATAGTAAGATTACATTCTTGAGAACCGAAAAGAGGTTTCTCTCCCTAAGAATCTCCGACGCTCAAATCAAAAATACCCCACCAGAAACAAGTATTCAGAAGGGTAAATTTTAGCAAGGTTACATGGGTGCAACATCACGTCCAATCGTGGTGTTCATCTATATCCAATGGCGTTTTGCAGTAGCTTAAAGGTAATCTATATTCAGAAAGGCTCACAATGGCAAAAACTTCACAATCAATTATAACTTCTTTGGTTTTTAGACATTTGTACTACATAATTTTTTGAAACTTTTCATGTGGTTTTAATTATTGGTGCATGCATTTCTTCCTGTTTTGTGTTCAAAATAGTTGTTGCATTTACAATTATGGATTTAACTGTTTTGAGCCAAAGCGTCTAATTATTCTCTGTTTAAATAATTCCCAGTTTGCCACATAGTGGATGTTTAAGTGTTTTTGGTAGCTTTTAACCTTTTTTTCTATTCCAAGTTTGGTAGTGAACGAGGTTAGAGCTTCACATCACTTTAAACGTTTCCACTTTGGTAAAGATATTGATCTTATTGAATCTGAAATTTTTGGACCATGATTTACACCTCAATAGTTTTAAAATTAGTATATATAAGGCATAGTTTTTAAAATCTATGATGTTTTTTTGTAAACTAGATATTATTTTTTAAAAATAGTGGTTTGTCAAATTAGTTTATATATTTTTTTTTGTAAGTCATTTTACTTCTTTTAATCATTTGTTTTTGTTTTTCACCTTAGGACTCGGATCATTACTTTCGTTGGACCAATCTTGTTATCTCTTTCTTTTAATCAATTTTAGTTATGGTATTAATATTTTGCATTTGCGTTTACTTAAGACTAAAAATATATGATATTAATGTAATATTAAATATTAAACATAGGCTTTACATAGATAGTATTGTAATAATATATTTTACGTAAAAGTTAACGAAACACAGATTTTTATTAATTTTATTCAACACTTTACTAACGACAAATTTAGTTTGCGGAAATTATTTCATTCCGCAAAACTTATTTTATTATCCTTGAATCCACAAATCCACGGTGTTTTCTAACCAATCATCGTAAGTAAAATGGA